AGAGTCTAATACGGGCAAGGCATTATTCAGATGGTCTGTATTTATCTCATTTATCCTTTCCAGCAACCCCAAGAGATGAGGTTATTATCCCAGTATTACTGACGAGAGGCTAACAGATAGCTAATAACGTTTCTATGGAGAAATGATCATTTAACAAATAAGTAGAGTTGATATTTTAATCCAGGACTGTTGTCGGGAAAGCACGTAACATTTGTATAAATTTTGAGGGTAAGAGGATTGAAGGGATGGAGTTATCTAATTGCAAGTCTTTGAAAACCATGACTGTTGGGTTGTGTGTATATAGGAGAAAATGGTTTCATTACAGGGGGAAGAATAAAAACTATGAACTTATTTCACAGAGGCGCTTCCTTAAGAAAAAAAAACCCAGTTTGTCCATAAGGAAACTGAAATAATTTTGTGACATACCAAGATGTAGCCTTTGGAAAGTAAGGTCACTTTCCTTAAACTCTCTTCCTCCTTATCTTACAGTACTATGTGCATTTCTGTGTCCACTGTTTAAGTGTAATGATATTGGACAAAAAATATACAACAAAATCAAGTCATTTCTGCTGAAACTAGATTTTGGAATCAGAGAATATATTAACCAGAAGAAACGTGAGAGAGCTGGTAGGTAACGTTTGAATTTTAGATTCCACGCATGAGATGAGACATCGGCTGGCTATTTATTATGAAATCACCTTTAATATATTTCAGGGTGTTTTAGCCTTTCACCACATATTATTACAGAAGCAAATCCCCCCAAAGTAACATAGCTTTTTCCTATTTTAGGCTTTTATGCTTTTCTCAAGCATACAACAAATCGCCTTTTTTTTTTTTTTTTTTTTTTTGCGATATGTGGGCCTCTCACTGTCGTGGCCCCCCCCCCGTTGCCGGATGCGCAAGCTCAGCGGCCATGGCTCACGGGCCCAGCCGCTCCGCGGCATGTGGGATCCCCCCGGACCGGGGCACGAACCCATATCCCCCGCATCGGCAGGCGGACTCCCAACCACCGCGCCACCAGGGAGGCCCACAAATCGCCTTTTTAATCCAAATTGTCAGGGGAGACAGAAAAGGCTTCAGCACTTCTGTATTTGCTACTTATTATTTATTTTCTCTAAATCGTTTTCTTTGGGAGTGGACGGTTGCAAATAACAAATGGCACAGGTAGGGCTGTGTGCGGGAGCCCTGTAAGAGGGGGCCAGTAGAACGGGAAGGAAAAGAAAGTAGGGGGAAGACTAATGTGCTCCTTTTTCACTTTTTAACTTGGCTTGTGACCTTACAGATTCTCAAACTACAGGGAGCATCGGAATTGTCTGAAGAGCTTATTAAAGCTTAGATTGCGGGGCCCATACCCCAGAGTTTCTGATTCAGCTGGTCTAGGGGAGGGCCTGGGGATTTGCCTTTCTAAAAGTCCAGGGGCCACACTATGAGGACCACTGATATGGACCATTTCCCTCGGAAACCAAACAGTTGCAAATACGTGGACCTTGTTATGCGCAAACACTTAATTACGTGGAGTCGTTGGGAGAATGTGAGGAAGGTGGGGTAAGGATATATAATGGGTAAAATACACGCTGTCTAAGCTGGCCAGGAAACTGAAAGCTTCCAAATTTTTTCCCGACAGAAGCAGATAAAGAAAGAAGTCACAAAGATGACAGTGAATTAGACTTTTCAGCTCTCTGTCCTAAGGTATTTTTTGTTTAGTTTTCAATTTGTTCCTGTGTGGTTTGACTGTAAATTGATCTAAATGTACCAAAACTGGAATGATATTCTTAATAGGCTCCTCCTGTTTCTCTAAGATGATTGAACAATATCGAAAGGAAAATGTTTCAAAAGATTCCCCACAGAAGTTTGAAATGTGTCACTGGTATTTATATTAACACAGATTAGCCTGACCGTTGCCGCCAAAGAGTTGTCTGTGTCTGACACAGATGTGTCCGAGGTCTCCTGGACTGACAATGGGACCTTCAACCTTTCAGAAGGATACACTCCACAGACGGACACTTCTGACGGTATGCTCACACTCCTAGATGCTCTGATTTTTATAATTATGAGTGCGTGCAAAGGTATTTAATCTGTCAACTGCTGACTGGATAAACAACCTGTGGTAACATCTACACAATGGAATCTCACTTGGCTATAAAAATGAAGTACTCACGTTTGCTACAACATGGATGAACCTTAAACACGTTATGCTAAAGTGGAGGAAGCCAGACACACAAGTCCACACATTGTGTAACTCCATTTCTATGAAATGTCCAGAATAGGCAAATCCATGCAGAAGGAAAATAGGTTAGTGGCTGCCAGCGGCTGGGGGAAGAGGGAATGGTGGGTGACTGGTAATTAATATGTTTCTTTTTGGATGATGAGAATGTTCTAGAATTAGATAGTGGTGATGTTCAATAGCTTTGTGAATATATTAAAAAACACTTTATCGTATACTTTAAAAGGGTACATTTTATAGTATATGAATTATATCTCAAAAGCTATTTTTTTGAAGAGTATGAGAAAAACATCTAAGCTAATCAATGTCCAAATCTGCCTTTATTTTGAAGACAAATAATTGACAGTGAAAAAACTTAAACTTCTGGAACAGCTGGTGGCATTGTTTATAGCAGTAATGGGACAGGGGAGGAGAGAAGCTAGTCCCACATATCCAGGGCTAGTCCTTATTAAGAGGGACTGAAGCATGGGGGGCAAGTTTCCCAAATCCAAAGCTGATTCCACGGTTTCTCATATACTTTTTTTTTTTTTTAACTAACTTGTTTTTCTTCCAAGTTAGTTAAAAAAATAAAAAAAAAAGCTTTCATATCTTTTATAATTAGGTTAAGTACAATTTAAAATGAAATTTGAGACAAGTCTTGTGCAGTAACTTTTGCTAGTCTCATTGGATTATTTCAAGTCATTTTAACAATATACTGAAAATATAAGCAGGTTATAATGGAGGATTATGAATAAATTATTTTATATGTGTCTTTATAAGCAAGAACACACTTTCTTTTTCTAGAGGAAGGAAGAAGGCTGTGTAGTGTTGAAAAAATACAGGTTTGGAGATTGGGAGACCCAAGTGTAGCCTTGCTTTTGTCATTAACTTTACTGTATGGCCCTGAACAGGTGACATAATTTCTGTGGATCTCAAATTCCTCATCTTTAAAGTGCATTAGAACAAGAGGGTCACTGAAGTCCTCTCAAGCTCTACAAGCTGTACATACCTACAAGACCAGGAAAACAAACCCTTTGTTCTTAAGCATCCTATCTCAGATTTACACAACAAAGGGAGCAGCAATAATAGAACCCATATAGAAGGCTTTCATTAATTAACTTGAAGATTCCAAAGAGTTACTGAAAGATACTCTGTGAAAAGTGAAAAACAATGAAATCACTGTCTGCCTACTAACCTGACATTGCTTTCAAATGTCCCAAATCTTAAAGCGTTCCTGTATATATTCAGGACCTATGTTTTGCTAAAACGGTATGGTTAATTTCAGCTATATTCATGGAAAGCTAAATGTTTCCATAAGCTCTTAGGTTGAATATGGAATAGAAGGAACAGTAGCTTCTTTTAACTCATTGCTTTAAACAAACACAGTTACAGATACTCAAACAGATCTCCATGAATGAAAATGCAAAGGCTGGATAATAGTCACCATCTGCTGGACCCAAATCTATGAAGACGTCCCATTGATGTATTTTTTATTGGCTTAAGCTAATCCCCTCCCCAGGAGCAGGATGAAATTTTGGTGAACATTTAAACTCTAGTCAGAGCCCCAAGCTGACATTAAGACAGGTTGAATAGTAAGTCATTACACACTTTTTGTGTTTAAGAGGAAAGCTAAGGCTATCGGGGGACATGTAGTGTTTGTGTGTACTTGTGGAGAGAGTGTCCCAGACTTGGGGGGGTTCTGATGGGAGGCTCGATGAATGCCAGAGTGATTCAGAGGATTCCAATTAAAAGCAGGAATCTTTTAGACAATTCTCTGATTTCAAATTTATTATGGTTTATTACAGGGTCTTATAAACCTTTGACTTTCTATTTTTTGTATATCTGAGATAGTAAAGGTTTATCAATTACTACTTTATAACTTAAAAGTTGAATCATAAAAAAAAAATTTATTATGGTGCTTAAGCATGAACTTCTGTTCCACATTTCACAGATCTTGACCGACCTAGTGAGGAAGTGTTCTCTCGAGACCTTTCAGATTTTCCATCTCTAGAAAATGGCGCAGGAACAAACGATGAAGATGAATTAAGCCTTGGCTTGCCCACTGAGCTCAAGAGAAGAAAGGAGCAGTTGGACCGTGGTCCCAGACCCAGCTCAGAGAGGCAGTCAGTGGCTGGTCTCACCCTTCCTCTGAGCGGTGACCAAACCTTCCACCTGATGAGCAACCTGGCTGGGGACGTCATCACCGCTGCGGTGACTGCCGCCGTCAAAGACCAGTTAGCAGGCATGCAGCAAGCACTGTCTCAGGCTGCTCCCAGCCCAGGGGAGGACACAGACACGGAGGAAGGGGATGACTTTGAACTACTGGACCAGTCAGAGCTCGACCAAATTGAGAGTGAATTGGGGCTTTCACAAGACCAGGAAGCAGAAGCACCGCAAAATAAGAAGTCTTCAGGCTTTCTTTCAAATCTACTTGGAGGCCATTAGTCTGGGAATCAGCTTGTATGACAGAGCACAGATAAACTACCAAAAAAATTCAAACAAGCAAAAAAAGAAAAGAAAAGGAAAAAAAAACTTTTCAAACTGTGAGCTTTACTGATTACTTTAGAATTTTTTTGGCCTTTTTTTTTTTTCCCTTCTGCAGTGAGTTAATTGGATATATATCAGCTGACACTGATAGATTGATATTTCTCATAGTTATTTTTATGTAATGCGCATGGAAATGAACTTTATATATATGTATATATATTTACTGTATTGTCAGAGTTGAATATTAGAGGTTGTTTTTAAAGCAAAATGAAAACACCCAATTATTGAGGTCCTCCCATTAGTATTCCGTATTTTTTCTTCACAATTAATTTTTCAAGCATGCAAAACAGTTTATTGTAACTCGCTGAAATATTAACAATTAATTGTGAAACATGCTATATTGGCCCCTCTGTTCCTAATACTTGGAAACAGTCAAAAAATTTTGGTAGATTTTGATGTAAAAAGACAAAAATGATCAAGGTCACTTTGGTTGAAAGACTTGGGAGATACTATTAAAATTCATTTCCTAGGAACAATTTTGAAAATACATTCAACTACGTTGGATGGGCTAATACATTTCCATGTTATTTTTGCAGTTGTAGACTTTAGGCTTCCTTGTAAATGGCGTGCTCCATTGACTGCCAGCTCTAGTCTTGCGACAGGTGGTATTAACCCATCGAAAGCAAGTAGTTAGATATCATGTAGACGGTGGTTTCGATGTAAGCAGAGATCGGGCTGTGCTTTGTTGTTCAATTGTCATATATTTGTGATAGGGAGGTTGTGAGTACAGATCTATTCTGCCTGCTCAGAACTAGGTTAAACCTCATCTTTCATATTACGGAAAAAGTCTCTTAAGATTGTGAAACTAGTTGCTGGTATGTTCTGTGAGCGATGTGGTCATCAGCCGTAGAGAAACGAGAACTGTTTTTGTAGTCTGACTCTCCTACAGGAGAGAAACTTGCTTGGTTTTCAAGTGTATTTATTTGCCATAGAAGTCTAAATCTGTAATCTGTTTCTTCTTAGGAAGCTAGAATATATTTTTCCTTTATTTTAAACTTTTTAGATCACTTTTAAATAACCACATTTCACTTAGCTGTTTAACAAAGGACTAAAGAGAAGAAATCAAGCTAATTTTGTTTTTGTGATAGAGGGACCATGTCAGCAACTACCAACCATCTCTTCAATCTTCAGGTACAGCTGGCATTCTGACAGATGCACACAGACATCTGAGCCCCTCAGAAAGGAAGGATAATCCAAGAATATAGGAAATCTGTGGTCCCCTGCCTTTACTTTACCCCTTCCCTTATATGTCTAAAGAGTAATGATAGGTCATCTGACATTTTAATGTAGCATCTCTTATTTATTTTTTCTTTCTGAGGTATTAAAATATCTAGACTGAATTTTGCCAAATATTAAAGGGAGAGAAGTTACTGCAGACTCTGAACACTTGCTTTTCGTGACTGACGATGCTTCTATGTCATTAGTGCCTCTTGACTGTGTTTGAGTCCTTTACTGATACAAAGTGAGCCTGTGCCTTCATTATCTTGCCCGTTTCGGTACAAATGAAAACCTGGTGTTAGATCTATGAACTGTGTGGGTTTGCAAGGAATATACCTGAATTCTATTTCAGTAAGAGTTTCTGGACATGAAGAAAAATACAGTCACGTATTTATAAAACAGTTTGTTACCAGGTTTATTATTATTTTTTTAACGTGTATGTTTCTTCACTTAAAAGATATTCTTGGCCATGAAGTCAGAAAGTTTAAAGGTCTTTTCAGTTTCTTCATTGAGGGGAAAACGAGAAGTTAAATAACTTAAGTAATTAAAGAATGTGTTACAAGTCACTGGACAAGCTTACAAGGAGATAAACTCACGATTTGATGGCATGGACAGTAAAGCCAGAATCAGATGTTATAAACTATAAATTAAAAGGGGTTTGGGGAGGTGGTTAGGGTAGAAAAATGTGTTACAGCCCTATGGTGGAGACATACCAGCTCTCTGTGGACAGTAGGATTATAACCACACATGCACTTCAGTAGTATTTGTTCCAGAATATATGTGGCTATAAATTTACGCAATGTAATAATGGTACTCTTAATACTATCAAACATAGGGATGTCAAGGGGTTTCATTTTCTCTCTCTCTGTGTGTGTGTGTGTGTGTTTGGCGGGGGGTAGGGTGGGGGGAACATTATATATAGTCCCGTTTCTGGCTTTAAGACGTACTAACAATAAACCCTGTGATTGATTCAGTACAGTGGGAAACTAGAGATTCCTTACCATGAGAATTTATGCAGTCATTAAAATGTGAAGCGTGGATATTTCTTAATTGTAGAGGAGCTGGAGAAAGACGTTTTGTTCACTTCCTGTAGGAAATGCTGAGCAAAACCATACAATGGGAAAAGCATACGCTGATCATGCATTTTGATCTGAAGCGAAAAAGTTCAAGCTTGTTTTGGAAGGTCAATCCAGGCTTAAAGCAATATTTATATTCTCATTCTGAACATCTTTACTTTTTATCTACCCTAAAAATCTTCAGAAGTGATTTTTTAAAACTGCTCCCTCCCCAATTTAGTAGAATGTTAGGAAAAGAAACTTTTATGAGGTTTGGCAAGTGGCGAACATCCTCAACGTATTTTGGCATCTCACTCTTATATTTGAAATAAGTGCGACTTTATTCCTTTTGAAAAAGTGGCAAGTGCCAGCATACTACTGATTTTAGGCCAGAAGCAAATCTACATTTAAGAAAAAAGCGATTTAAAAGTTTTCCTTTTCTGTTTATACCTTAGGTTAATATAGCTCCTTATACTGCTCTGGCTATGTTAGTTATGAGATAAGAAATTATTTTGAAAACCCTTCCTAAACTACGACCCTTCCTAAACTACATGTGTCACAGGTCATGTGTATCACAGTGAAGACACAGTCTCTGAACTGTGACGTATGTGACATATGACATATTCAGAGACATATGTCTCTGAATATATTTTTGTATATTATTCCTCCTTTTCCACTGAAGCATTTAAGGTAGGATGGGATGTCAGAATTATGAGTTCTGGTTCTGATGTTAACATTAGGACCCTAAGACACAATGTCAAGTCACATAGCATCTCAAACCACCACCTCAGTTTCCCCAAACATAAAATTAGGAAGCTAATTCCTATCCTCTCACACAGGGATGTTTTGAGAATGAATGAAAAAAAAAAAATGTCTGAAGCATTTTCGGGGGAAAAAAAGCTGTATAAAACGAAGATAGTGATCTTTCTCCTATTTCAGCTAAGCCATCTTTTTGAACATTAAAGAAAAGTCAATCAACAAGAACCTGCTTACAAAACAGACTCTAAAGTTCTTTTAATGGGCCTAGCATGATATTGGCCTTATAATCCAATAAATCCTGTAGAATAAGAGGATAGACAGTGTTGCCAAATTGTCTGTTATTTCATTTGACTCTGAAACATGTGTGAGGTTCTACATTAGTCATCGTGAATGGTTCTAACACTTCCTGGCTATGGGACTGAAAGTCACCTAACGTGTACTTGTTTCCTTCACCTATAAAATTAAGATAAAGCACCTGCCTCATAGTATGTTGTAAGGATTAAATGTCTAAGACTGGGGTTGGCAAACTACCACCCGTGGGCCAAATCTGGCCTGCCACCTGTTTTTATGGAATATTTAAAAATATAATTTTCTTTTTCTGGACTTCCCTGGTTGCACAGTGGTTAAGAATCTGCCTGCAAATGCAGGGGACATGGGTTTGAGCCCTGGTCCGGGAAGATCCCACATGGCTGCGGAGCAACTCAGCCCGCGAGCCACAACTACTGAGTCCACATGCCACAACTACTGAAGCCCGCGCGCCTAGAGCACGTGCTCCACAACAAGAGAAGTCACTGCAATAAGAAGCCCGTGCACCGCAACGAAGAGTAGCCCCCTCTGGCTGCAACTAGAGAAAGCCCGCTTGCAGCAACCACGACCCAATGCAGCCAAAAATAAATAAATAAATTTTATATATATATATATATATATATTTTTATTGCCGAAGATCACACACCCAGGGGGCTCACATCCAAGTCTTCTGTTTCTAAACCTCATATGCTGCTCGTAATTTGGCAAATTTGATGAAAAAATTTGGTACTCAGTCTTTCCAAGTAATATTTTATACATATGAAAAATACATGAAATTCAAAATTCAGCACCCATAAAGAATGTTTTATTAGAAGAGGGCCACACTCATTTATGTACTGTCTATGCATCCTTTTATGCTAAAACAGAAAAGTTGAATAGTTGTGATGAAACCATAGGCCTACAAAGCCTAGTATATTCACTATCTGTCCTTTTATAGGAAAGGTTTGCCAATCCTTGGTCTAATACGAAGAAAACACTCAGTTACAGTTAGGGTCCTGTGTAATCCTCATGACTACAATTAAGTGGTGTTAAGAGCTTTTCTCAGAAGGACGGGGTCAAATAAATGGTCCAGAGTCACACAACTACTAAGAGGAAAAGCCAGTTTGACCCCAAAGCCTATTCTCTTTCTAATATGTCACACTACCTAATATTTTTCATTTTTTTAAAATACATTAAGAATGATCATGTTTATGGGCTTCCCTGGTGGCGCAATGGTTAAGAATCCACCTGCCAACGCAGGGGACACGGGTTCAAGCCCTGGTCCAGGAAGATCCCATATGCCGCGGAGCAACAAGCCTGTGAGCCACAACTACTGAGCCTGCACTCTAGAGCCCGAGAGCCACAACTACTGAAGCCCACGCGCCTAGAGCCCATGCTCCACAACAAAAGCCACTGCAATGAGAAGCCCGCGCACCGCAATGAAGAGTAGCCCCTGCTCGCCACAACTAGAGAAAGCCCGCGTGCAGCAACGAGACCCAATGCAGCCAAAAATAAATAAATAAATAAATAAATAATTAAAAAAAGAATGATCATGTTTGTAATAGTTTAACAGAATTTCACTAAATATTAAAGATTGATTTTATTTGACGTAGATTAATTTTTCTTTTTTCAAAGAATCCACAAATCAGCTGATCCAAACTGTTTTAAATGCTGCAATAACCAGATTTTGCTATAAATTTCAATCCCTTGTTAATTTAAGAAAACTTTGCATATCTAGATATCCAAAAACTGAGGTAGTAAAATGTTTTTAAATTGTTTATTAAAAATCATAATGCTTTACTTAACATTTTTATGAACACAGAAGTCATAGAAGTTGTAAATCATTTAATAAATATATGTTTTATAGTCTATATTACCCCCTATAAGTTAACCTCAACTAATCCAATCACCTTCATACTTTTCCCTTTAAAAATCAAGTTGCCACTGCAATATAGGAATGTGGAAAGTAGTATCTACTGACTTGAAGGTGACCTTATTAGTTTTTGTCTTAAATTTTTTTTTTTTTTTTTGCGGTACGGGGCTTCTCACTGTTGTGGCCTCTCCTGTTGCGGAGCACAGGCTCTGGACGCGCAGGCTCAGCGGCCATGGCTCACGGGCCCAGCCGCTCAGCAGCATGTGGGATCTTCCCGGACCGGGGCACAAACCCATGTCCCCTGCATCGGCAGGCGGACTCTCAACCACTGCGCCACCAGGGAAGCCCCCCATCTTTATTCTATTAGTTAATTGTGTATTTCTTACCATCCTTAACAAAGCAGAAAAAAATCCCCTTGAAGACAGATGTTTTAATTCAGAACCAGTAGGATATTATATACGAGATATTGTGATTTATAACAAAATACAGATATTTGGTCTTTGTCCCATTCTGGGCATGGAGCTCCTAAAACCCTTGGAAGGTCTTAAGTGATGAGAGTGATAAAGGTGTCTTTTGTTATGTTGATGAGGTGACTTTTGCAAAGCCCTTAGGTAGCCTAGCGGAGAGGGTGTCACAACCAAAACTCCAGAGGGAGAGAATCTCTTGTTTGGGAACTTCCTGACCTCACCTTATGTGTCTCTTCATTGGGCCGTTCATTTACACCTTTTAATATCCTTTGTAATAAACTGGTAATCTAGTAAGTAAACGAGTTTCCAGATTTCTGTGAGCTGCTCTAGTAAATTACTCAAACCTGAGGGAGGGGGTCATGGAAACCTCTGATTTATAGCCAGTCAGAAGCACAGGTAAAAACCTGGACTTGGCATTGCCTTCTGAAGTGGGGCCAGTCTTGTGGGACTGAGCATTTAACCTGTGGGATCTGACTTCATCTCCAGGTAGAAGGTGTCGGAACTGAGTTGAATTTGAGGACACCCAGCTGGTGTTGGAGAATTGCTTGGTAGTCTGGGAAAAACACCCATGTTCCTGGAGATAGGGAGCATGGGTGGGAGGTGATAGGAGATACTGAAAACCAGGCAGAGGAATTTAAACTTCTTCTATGGGCAACAGGTAACCATTCTTGAACACAAGGAGTGACACAAGAGGAAACATGGCTGAGAGGAATTAGTGTGATTATCTCTATGTGCTGTATGGTAGACTAGGAGGAAAGAGAAGGCTCTCCAGGAGACTGCAGTAGAATTGCAGCCCATGGGAAATTTAACAAGGTGGAGAAAACAATGTCCCTTTGAAGAGGAAAAGGAAAGAACCCGTGGAGAGTTCAAAGATGCTGAAATGGGTCATGGAAATGGATGGGAGGAGGTAGGGAGGAAATAATGACCCGAAGAAGGAACAAATGCTTGAAGAACCATATGTGAATGATAAGTGGAAAGAGAAAACAGAAGTTCTTTACTTAATATAACCATTCTCTGCTTTAATTTTAGAGAAGCTTGAAAATATACATTATTTTGCTTATCCCTGTTGAACAAATTACATTTCTTAAGATGGATATCTGTCCAGAGGACTCAGCTATTTTAAGAGATTTTGTAATGTAAAAATCAAGTTTTCTGGAATGAAATCAGCACCAGACTTAACTTACACTACAAAAGGTTTGTTTAACAAATACTGAACAATTTATGTACCAGCACTGTTCTAGCTCTGGGGTACACTGCAAGGAAAGGAGTCCCTGTTCCCATGGAGCTTGTAGTCTGGAGGTGGATGACTAACCTATAATGGGACTGACTATCCTGGTTTGCAAATGATGGAGAGGTTTCCTGGGATACAAGACTTTCAGTGCTAAAACTGGAAAATCAGGGACAAACAACAAATGCTAGTGGTGGCCCATTTCCCAAATGGTCCCCAAAGACACCACATTCATGCCCTTACAAAGTCCCTCCCACATTAAACAGAGCTGACTTTCCTAAGTAACAGCATATCGTAGAAGTGACCCTGTGTGACTTCCAAGGCTAGGTCCTAAAAGATATTGTGACTTCTACTTTGCTTACTTTTGAGGGAAGCCAGTAACCATGTTATGAGGACACTCAAGCAGCCCTAGGTAGAGGTCCACTCAGTGAGGACCCCAAAGCTCTTGCTATCAGTGTGTAAATGAGCCTCTTCCAAGGGGATCCTGCAGCCAGAGTCACACCTTCCAGCTGCCGTCACATGATCAGCCCTGTCCCCCTGCAACTTCATGAGTCCATGAGCCACGTAAATTTCCGACTTAACAGAAATGGAAAGAAGCAAAGTCTGTTGTTTTCCTGCTAAATGTTGGGGTAATGTGATATGGAGTACTAGATGGCTAGTACAGTGCTACTGAGAAAAGGTCTGCTTAGGAAAGACTGATGGGTTGGGGGTAGGCACTACTGTGAAAAGAGGGTGTGGATAGGCCCCTCCTGTAAACGCATTTGGGCAGAAACCTTCAAAGTAAGGGAGCAAGACAGCAATACTCGATCCAAGCATAATAGTAAAGAATTTCTGAGATTTAGTATATGCACCTGAGATGAAAGATGCTTGCTTAGCCTTGTTAGAGTAACATCAAGTGTCAGTGTGACTGAAGTGGGGTGAGCAGAGTGGGGAAGGGGGTGTGACAGGTGGTCAGGAGGAGGGGTAGGGCCTCCTAGAATAGAAAGGCAGTCCTCTTGGTCAGTTTGTGCTGCTATATAACAAAATATCACAGACTGGGTGGCTTATAAACAACAATTTTTTTTTTTTCTCACAGTTCTGGAAGCTGGAAGTCCAAGATCAGGGTGCCAGCATGGTCTGGTGAGGGGCCTCTTCCTAGTCTCAGACTTCTTATTCTATCCCTTTTTGGGTCTCTGAGGTCTATGTGCTCAGAATCTAATCACCTCTCAGAAGTGCCACCTCCTAATACCATCACTTTGGGAATTCGTTTGTCAATATATGAATTTTTTTTTTTCTTTTTGAGGGGGTGGCACAAACATTCAGACCAGGGCAGGAATGTGTTTGTACTTTATTCCCAGTCAGGGGAAGCCACTGAAGGTTTTCAGCAAGAAGAACAATGCGACAACCTACATTTTAAAAAACGTCGATATCTTCTTTGGTGCTATGGGCCGCTTGGATTTTAAACATGCAATGTCCAATTCTGAAAAAGGACGGACTGTTCAGCTAGGCTGCGCAGCCGAGTGTAAGAACTCCCTACGCCTTTAACATTCATGCTTCCTACAGAACCGGGCTGCTACGCATGACATGACATAGTTAACTAAGTACAGGACACGAGGCTCGTCTGAACTGAGGTGTGCTGTTAACTGTAAAATGCGCACTGGAATCCCAAGATTTAGTACCAACAAATGAATGTAAAATGTCTCACTAAATCTTCTGGCTTGATTACATGTTGAAATGATAATATTTTGGATATACTGGCTTAAATAAAATATGGCCATCTTACCTCTCTCTTTCCGCTTTAATGAAAACGCGGCTACTATTAGATTTAAGAGGACCTACTTGTCTGGGATTCTATTTCTACTGGGCAGCGGCTGGGCTGGACTCTGCGCGCCGAGGTGCAAACTATCCATCCAGGAGTTTCGCCTGCGCCCTTTCCGCCCCAGTAAGGCAGAGGTTCTGGCCGGGAGTCTCCGGTTTTCCTGTGAGTTCCCTCAGCCTCTAACCCGAGTCTCCGGTCCGGCCCCCGGGCTGGCCAGCATCCCTGGCTTTCGTGACACCCACTCCCGGGCTGCAGGGGTGCAGGGCGCGGACCTCAGAGAATCCAGACGGTCGGGCGGCTCACGCATCAGTCCTCCCGGCTCCCCAGTCCTCCGTCCCGCGCGGTGGTGGCCTTCCCAGCACCACGCCTCACAGCACAGCCAAAAAGGACAGTAACCTGCGGGGGCGAGGCCTGTCGATCACACCCAACTCAGGGCAACACCCACCTCGGTCGACTCAATGAACACCTATTACTTCTGGTCAACCCAGCTCACGCGGATCCGCAGATCCCACACCTCGCGGAGACCTAAACAACAATCACCTCAAGTCCATCCAATCACCACTCGTCTCAGGCTCATCCAATCACCACCTGCCTCAAGCCCATCCAATCACAACCCTCCTTACGCCAACCCAATCAACACCCACCTCAGGCCGACTGGGCGGGGCCGGATCCCTCCCGGGCTTCTCCCACATCCCCGGGGCCTCTGGCCACTCCGCGGAGGGGGCGTGGCTGCATGTCGGGAGGCGGGACTTCCTGTCAGGCCGGAAATAATTCGATCCAGTACGGAAGTCAGCTCGCAATCCGGTTCTTCGTGGGCCTTGAGGTTTACGGTCCGAGTGTCTGGTGGGGTCAGGGCGCTCAGTGGTCGCTAGACTGCTGCCTTGGTTCGCCTCTTATTTCCCGGCTGGCGATGGCGACCTACACCTGCAACACCTGCCGGGCGCTGTTGGACGACGGGGAGGCGCAGCGGGCCCACTACAAGACGGACTGGCACCGCTACAACCTGAGGCGCAAAGTGGCCGGCATGGCCCCGGTCGGCGCCGAGGGCTTCCAGGAGCGGGTGCGGGCGCAGCGGGCCCTGGCGGAGCCGGAGAGCAAGGGCGCGGCCACCTACTGCACCGTCTGCAGTAAGAAGTTTGCCTCCTTCAAGGCCTACGAAAACCATCTGAGGTCCCGGCGGCACGTGGAGCTGGAGAAGGAGGCGGTGAGTCGGAAAGTGGCGATCCTGAATGAAAAGAACTTGGAGAAAGGGCTGGGCGTGGACGGTGTGGACAGGGATGCGGTGAACGCGGCCATCCAGCAGGTCATCAAGGCCCAGCCGTCCACGTCTCCCAAGGAGGCGGCCCCAGCTCCCGAGGCGGAGTCCCGGAGTCCCGTGACCGTGGCCGCTGGAGGACGTGGGACTCAGCAGCGAGACCCGGCCGAGAAGCCTCCCCGGCTGCAGTGGTTTGAACAGCAGGCGAAGAAGTTGGCCAGACAGCACGGGGAGGAAGAGAGTGAGGACGACCTGGATGCAGATGGTGGGGGCCTGTCTGGGGGGCGGGGCGGGGCGGGGGACGGGGCTGGGCCTCAAGCTTCCAGTTTATCTTTGAGGTTGGAGCGGGGAGGTGTCCGTTTTCAGGTGAAGGTGATGCGTGAGGGTGTTTCCTTGGTTTCTGAAGTGGCTGGTGTGGCCAGCACCCCCACAGGGCATTTTGTGTGTTTAGCTCACTGTTCTCATTCAGGGACTGAAAGCTTAGCGGGGGGTGGGGGGAATAGTTACTTAGTAAATGTTTGTCGAATGAAAGGATACATTCTCTGTCGAAGGAGGAGATTGTTAACATATGCAGAAGGAGAACATGGTACCCTCACGCCATGTGCTGCAGAATGTTTAATTCCATTGGGTTTCTGGTCATGATGGCTTTGCTCTGAGTTTGAGGTGCTCAGAATCGGCGAGCTAACTTGCAGTGTGAGGCTGGAGCCAGCAACCTAGGCTTCTTGACTTAATGGGCTATTTTTCCCTCATCCCCCTGACGCTGATTGCATGTGTTCATATATGTATAGGAAAGGAGCACGTGCTTCCTTCAAGGGGTTTACTGTGTGCTGAAAAAGAAGGATGAAAGCATTCCTTAGCCATGCCGACCCGTGTGTGGTGGATGACTGGCTGACTGAGATCTTCCGCTAACTTTGTTTTTCAAATCTCTGGCTTGCAGACTGGGAGGATATTGATTCTGATGAGGAACTGGAATGTGAGGATGCTGCAGCCCCGGAGGAGGAGGCAGCGGAGGAAGAGGCTGGAGGAAGCACCCCACGTGGTGCCATCCCCATAACAGACTGCTTGTTTTGTCCCCATCATTCAAGCTCCCTCACGAAGAATGTGGCTCATATGACTAAAGTGCACAGCTTCTTTATTCCTGATGTAGAGTATCTTTCCGATCTTAAGGGACTGATTAAATATTTGGGTAAGTTCAGTCGTTTTTTCCTTTTGAATGACAAAATACCACATTACTGGGGGGCATTAGTTTGGGGCTTCTCCTCAATCTTGGATTGAATGACCGGCCGATTTTGTGAAAATCAGAAACTTGATGGCTGTTTTTTGAACTGTGGACATCGACAATGAGCCCTAATCTGGCTGCAAAAAGCTGCTTTCATGTTTTTTTCTCAACTTATTTTTTTCCAGGAGAGAAAGTTGGTGTGGGGAAGATTTGCTTGTGGTGCAATGAGCGGGGGAAGTCCTTCTACTCCACGGAAGCTGTACAGGCTCACATGAATGACAGGAGTCACTGCAAGCTCTTCACAGATGGGGATGCTCTTTTGGAATTTGCAGACTTCTATGATTTTAGGTAAGTCTGGTTTGTAAGGCTGCAGTGGTTTGAACAGCAGGCGAAGAAGTTGGCCAGACAGCACGGGGAGGAAGAGAGTGAGGACGACCTGGATGCAGATGGTGGGGGCCTGTCTGGGGGGCGGGGCGGGGCGGGGGACGGGGCTGGTCCTCAAGCTTCCAGTTTATCTTTGAGGTTGGAGCGGGGAGGTGTCCGTTTTCAGGTGAAGGTGATGCGTGAGGGTGTTTCCTTGGTTTCTGAAGTGGCTGGTGTGGCCAGCACCCCCACAGGGCATTTTGTGTGTTTAGCTCACTGTTCTCATTCAGGGACTGAAAGCTTAGCGGGGGGTGGGGGGAATAGTTACTTAGTAAATGTTTGTCGAATGAAAGGATACATTCTCTGTCGAAGGAGGAGATTGTTAACATATGCAGAAGGAGAACATGGTACCCTCACGCCATGTGCTGCAGAATGTTTAATTCCATTGGGTTTCTGGTCATGATGGCTTTGCTCTGAGTTTGAGGTGCTCAGAATCGGCGAGCTAACTTGCAGTGTGAGGCTGGAGCCAGCAACCTAGGCTTCTTGACTTAATGGGCTATTTTTCCCTCATCCCCCTGACGCTGATTGCATGTGTTCATATATGTATAGGAAAGGAGCACGTGCTTCCTTCAAGGGGTTTACTGTGTGCTGAAAAAGAAGGATGAAAGCATTCCTTAGCCATGCCGACCCGTGTGTGGTGGATGACTGGCTGACTGAGATCTTCCGCTAACTTTGTTTTTCAAATCTCTGGCTTGCAGACTGGGAGGATATTGATTCTGATGAGGAACTGGAATGTGAGGATGCTGCAGCCCCGGAGGAGGAGGCAGCGGAGGAAGAGGCTGGAGGAAGCACCCCACGTGGTGCCATCCCCATAACAGACTGCTTGTTTTGTCCCCATCATTCAAGCTCCCTCACGAAGAATGTGGCTCATATGACTAAAGTGCACAGCTTCTTTATTCCTGATGTAGAGTATCTTTCCGATCTTAAGGGACTGATTAAATATTTGGGTAAGTTCAGTCGTTTTTTCCTTTTGAATGACAAAATACCACATTACTGGGGGGCATTAGTTTGGGGCTTCTCCTCAATCTTGGATTGAATGACCGGCCGATTTTGTGAAAATCAGAAACTTGATGGCTGTTTTTTGAACTGTGGACATCGACAATGAGCCCTAATCTGGCTGCAAAAAGCTGCTTTCATGTTTTTTTCTCAACTTATTTTTTTCCAGGAGAGAAAGTTGGTGTGGGGAAGATTTGCTTGTGGTGCAATGAGCGGGGGAAGTCCTTCTACTCCACGGAAGCTGTACAGGCTCACATGAATGACAGGAGTCACTGCAAGCTCTTCACAGATGGGGATGCTCTTTTGGAATTTGCAGACTTCTATGATTTTAGGTAAGTCTGGTTTGTAATGTCGAGCGAAGCCAGCTGGTCACATTTGCATTGGATTTGCACGTGCCTCTACCTGATAACTGTCTGTGTCCGGTATCGTATTCTTCATACCTCTTAGCACACTTGTTTAGGAGGTAGTTATTTCCTCTCATTCTGTAGATGAGAAACTGAGTATCGCAGAATTAAACACACATATCTGACCCGGAGAAGATCTCAGGCCCAAACTGTCAGTTTGTGTGGTTTGGAAACTTGTTTTTGCTTGTTGTGGTTTCCATGGTCAGAAGTTCAGTTTTGCCAGTTACCTCAGGAACAGAGGCAGGGAGGTTAGGCTTCACATCTTGGTTTCCCTGAGAGCCCTTGAATCACAGGCTGTCTCCTAAGGGACTTGAGCTGGTGGCTGCACCAGGCCTGTCCCAATCACTTGTTGGTGAAATTATGCCACCTTTACCTAGAATCTTGAATATTTCATACATCATGCAACGAATCCATGCTAGGAATTCTGGAACAGCTGGTTCTTAGTGTCAGTGTGCCTATGACCTAGCACAGGTGTGCTCTGCAAGCGGGTGTGTATAATGACCATGCCAGGTGTGCAGAGTCTACCTAATACAGGTGTTCAGAAAAGTGCTGGTCTTTTAAGTCGTCCTTTTGCATTTTCCTCCTGATTTCTCATTTCTTACTTGTCCTGACAGAGAGTTTTTCATTATAGCCACTTTGGTGGCTCTGTAGGGGCCACCATTGTGGTTTTAATTTGCATTTCCCTGATGAGGACTGATGCAGTTGAGAACCTTTTTATATATCAACTGGCCATTTGGATATCTCTTGTGAAGTATCTGATCTAGTCTTTTGTCTGTTCCTGTTGGCTTATCTGCCTTAGTGTACATTTCTCCAGTTATTTTCCTTGTGTATTTGTGAACAGCTATAGAAGCACAGAGATTCTTCTGGAACTAGAGTGTCTAATTTGCCAATTCCTAGGTGTACTCATGTCGCTCTTTGGGTTAGTTAAGTAAAGTAAAAATTTTTAAATTCAGCTCTTCAGTTGCACTCCCCACATTTCAAGCCCTATGCTTAAAAACAGATGTGCTTTAAAAGTAGCTACCATAGTGGACACACAGACTGAAAATTTGCATCATCAGAGACTTCTGTTGTTCAGCACTGTTGTAGGACTTGTTTTTGTATTGATTAAATTGAGGAGAGCTGCATCTCCAGCTGTACAATCTCCTCCTCTTCCTCTGTTTGCCAGCCCTCCTGGAGAGAAACAAATACAGAGGTGAAGGAATTCTGTTATAGGTTGTTTGCTCACTCTTTCTTAGAACAATTTTAGATTCTCAGCAAAACTGAGAAAAAGATACAGAGAGTTCAAATATACTCCTTACCCAACACGTGCAGAGCCTGCCTCATTATCAGCATCCCCCAGTGGTACATTTGTTACAATTGATGAACCAAGTTGACCCATCAGTTATCACTCAAAGTCCATAGTTTAGAGTTCACTCTTGGTGTTGTCCATTGTATGAGTTTGGAGAAATGTGCATACAACGACATGTATCCACGATTAGAATATCATACAGAGTGGTTTCACTGACCTGCAGATCCTCTGTGTTCTGCCTGTTCATCATTGTCCTCCACCCGACCCCTGGAAAACCGTGATATTTAATGTCTCCATATTTTTGCCTTTCCCAGAATGTTGTATGATTAGAATCATACAGTATGTAGCCTTTTCAGACTGCTTCTTTCACTTAGTAATATGCTTTTAAGGTTCCTGCATGTCTTTTCATGGCCTGCTAGCTCATTTCGTTTTTGTATAATCCAAAAATACTCCCTTGTATGGATGTGCCACAGTTTATTTATCTACTCACCTATTGGAGCACATTTTGGTTTCTTCAGGTTTTAAGAATTTGGATAAATCTTCTGTAATTCATGTGCAGGTTTTTGTATGGACAGAAGTATTTGACTCCTTAGGGTAAATACCAAGCAGCAGGATTGCTGGGTCTTACGGTAAGAGTGTGTTTGATTTTGCAAGACACCGCCAGCTCTTCCAAAGGGGCTGTACCCTCTTGCCTTCCCACTAGCAGTTAATGAGAGTTCCTGTTGCCCCAGATCCTCACCAGCATTTGATATTGTCATTGTTCTGGATTTTGACCATTCTGATAGGTGCATACTGGTATCTCTGTGTTTTAATTTGCATTTTTCTGTTGACATATGCTGTGGAGCATCTTTTTTGCATGCTTATTTGCCATGTGTGTATCTTCTTAGTGAGGAGTCTGTTAAGGTCTTTGGCCCATGTTTTAATCAGATTGTTTTTTGCTGAGTTTTAGAGTTCTTTTTGCATTTGGATAGCAGTCCTTTGTCAGATGTGTCTTCTGCAAATACTTTTTTCCAAGTCTGAATCTTGTATTTTAATTCCCTCGACATTGTTTTTCACAGAGCAGAAGTTTCCTTTATCAGATGTGTCTTCTGCAAATACTTTTTTCCAAGTCTGAATCTTGTATTTTAATTCTCTCGACATTGTTTTTCACAGAGCAGAAGTTTTTAATTTTAATGAAGTTTAGCTTATCAGTTATTTCTTTCATGGACTGTGCCTTTTGTGTCGTTCCTAAAAAGTCATCACCAAACCCTAAGTTATCTAGGTTTTCTCCTATATTATCTGTAGGATTTTTTATAGTTTTGTATTTTACATTTAGGTCTGGGATCCATTTTGAATTCATAGGCCATTTGAATACTTTACTACAGAGAAAATGCTAATAAATTGTTTTCTCTCCAAAAGCTTTCAGTGTAGTCGCTGCAACTGTTAACCCCTCACCCCTAACCCCTTTAGTTATCTAGTAGGTTTACAGTATTTTAGTTAAATTTGAGGTATTGGTCTATGTATTAATGCCATTCCATGGTTCCAGGAGTAGCTACCCAGATCACAAGGAAGGGGAGGACCCTGATGAGACTGAGGACTTGCCGTCAGAAAGGGCCTTGGAATATGAAGACGACACCATGGAGCTGATCCTCCCTTCTGGTAAGTGCAGTTGTCCAGAATACATAGCTGCATGCCGCTGAGATTATCGGAGCGGCGTGTTCCCATCACTTCCCTTCCACACCGAGGGGAGAGACCCTACAGCTTCAAGTGTGTGTTTGTGTTACCCTGGACGAGGTGAACTCTGAAGGTTGCCCCGTAGCTCTGTCTTGGCTGTTTTGTTTAAATTGCATCAATGTTTTCCTCACTTTTGTTGTGATTCGTAATGCTTTAATCAGTCATTGCCTTTCTTTTCAATACATAGACCTTTTGTATTCTGTTTATTATCTGGTTTTTTGGCCCCATCCAAGTTTTTCTTGTTAAACTTGACTTTGCTCTTATTCCTTGAACTGATTGCTGTTTCCGTGGTGGCTCAGACTTGCATATGTTAGTCTGGCATGGGTGGACCTGATTGACAGCGCCCAGGTTTCCTGTCCGTATTCTGGGTGTAGGGGGAGGCTTGGAGTTTGAATTCTGCCTTCTCCTTTGGGGAACAGGATTCATAATGGCAGGATTTTGTCCCAGGTATGAATAGAAGAAGGAAAGCCATGAATATGAGAAGTGTGCAGTATTGCTTACAGTGTTATGCTTAGCTAATAGGAATGGGGGCAGCTACAGAAGACGCATCTAAAAAGGACATAAGATAATAAGATAAGATAATAAGATCCTAATAATACCTCGTATTTACTGAGCAGTTAGCACATTCAGGCAGATATATTATTTTAGCTTTACATCGAGCCTTTGAGTTAGATTCTGTTATCCTTATTTGACGTATGAGCCAGCTGAAGCTTAGACAGGTTGAGTAATTTACCCGGGATCATGGACCTCGTCAGTGAAGCCCTTTCCCCACTTGTCTCCGCTGCCTGGGAGATTTGCAGTGATGGTGGGAGCAGGAACGGCCACATTGCCAATGGAGACGTCTGCCGTGAAGAAGCCGCCCTGAGGTGCTGCTCTCCACCTGGAATAGCACGGCTTAGGTATAGAGGGCCCTGCTTAACCCAGAGTAATAACCTTCTAAGGCTAAGGGCAGTTTAGACAATGACAGTGAAAGGAAAGTGCAGGCAGAACCTATCTTGAGGATATAACTCTTCTACAGTGGGATGGAAGCTGTAATGCAGCAGAATATTGTGGCCTATACAATACGCAGCAGCAAAGCAGGCCTAAATGTATCACAGAGGACCTAGTCCCATCTTCCCTTGGTGAAAATACTGATGCAGAATGTCAGAAATAAGTTTAATAACTTATTTTCTAAGACTGTTTATTTAGCCCCTAGTTTCATTAGCTCCCCCTTCCTTAACTGAGACTAGATCACAGACCTTGAGAAAGTGAATGAAATGGTCCCTGCCAGCGGCGCCTGGCGTGTAGTAGGATCAATAGGAACGTGGGCTTCATTTTGCAGCAACGCTGCTCACCAGTGAGACTATCCAATTTTAGAAGTATAGTCTATTTGCGAGAAATTTTCATCTGGACTTAAGACGTCTGTAGCTTAAAGACTCCCTAGCTATGTAGACAACACATTTGCCCAGAGCGATAGAGTTTCCTCAGGTTCGCCAAAGCCAAACCTGGGTGTCTTCTCAGGATCCGCTCTTACTCTCCCACATCCTTTTTTCTTCTCCTTATCTGTGTCACCATGAAAGCTTCCTGTCTGGCCGTCTCCAGTCTGGTTTCCACTTGACCACCAGAAGGTTCTTTCTAAAACAAACACCAGTCTGTTTTCTTTTCCCTCTGGAATCCCCAGGGGGAGCCCTTGCCTTCAGGGTCACTTTGTCGCCCAGGTGTCTGGTGCTCTTCCTTTCCCGCCCGCCCGCAGTCTCCCTCCCCTGGGCCTTTGCCTGGGCGCTGCCTCTGTCCGTCCCCCGCGCCCC